GTATCTCTTGGAAGCGAGGGTGGTCAAAAGCGAGGTAGGTTTGTTGGCCCCCTGGAGAAGTTTTCGAAGCCATCCCCGAAGACACAGAACACTTGTCTTCTCAGAGGGCCAGCAGGCTTCTGAGAAGCCCCCGCCCGCCGTGTTTTTCCTCGTCACGTTCACCCCCCAGTTCGCCGCCGAACGAGGGGGTCTGGGGCGCGAGGGGCAGGTAGAGGAGGCAGTAATCGGGGAGCTAACAGTGACGTACACATACAGACGCGGAGGCCTCCGTGGATTCCGTGGATCGGCGTTGGACCGCCCTCCCTGGCGCGCGGCTCCGCCAGGGACCTCCAGCGCCGATCCGAGGAATCCGCGCGGAGCACCGAGTTTTTAGGTTTATGCCATTGCGTGTTCCCCTAAGGAATGAGGAGGGGCCCCAGGCCTCCGCCAGTGCCCCCCCCCCAGGCCAACTGCTACAGCCGCCCGTCCTCTCGCGCCTGCTACAGCCGGGGGCCGGAGGCGGCTCTTTGGGGGGCGCCCGCCGCGGCGTCCTCGCCGCGCGACCGAAGTGGACAAGAGGGCGGGAAGAGGAACGACGCCCGACAGCAGTCGCTTTCGATTCGGTTCCAGCACTGTGCCGACGGAGGCCGATCCGACGCAACGCTCATGTCCGAGTCGACCTCCGAGGCTGACGCATCCTGCCGTGGCGGCATGCACAACTGGTGGGGAGAGGGAGACAGCCTTCTGATAAGAGGGCAGGGGGGCCTTTCCTGAAAGAGATTGGCACGGCACCTCGGCCGCGTGCAGAGGGGGGCAGGAGGAGTGTGCAAGGCTTCTTAGAATAAGGCTGCTCCTTAGACGGCGCGGCCCTGTATGCATACACATAGGTACATCCATGTATGTGTAGATCGACATAACTATGTATGGATGTACGTGTGTATGCATGCAACCATGCATGGATGTGTGTGTATGTATGTGTGCATGTATGTATGTATGTACGTACGTATGTATGTATGTATGTATGCATGCATGCATGCATGCATGCATGCATGCCTGCCTGCCTGCCTGCCTGCCTGCCTGCCTGCATGTATGTATGCATGCATGCATGCATGCATGCATGCATGCATGCATGCATGTATGTATGTATGTATGTATGTATGTATGTATGTATGCATGTATGTATGTATGTATGTATGTATGCATGCATGCATGTATGTATGTATGTATGTATGTATGTATGTGTGTATGCGCGCATGTCTGTATGCATGTGATTGCGTATGTAAGTGTATGTACATATGTACGTACGTCTGTATATATGTGTATATGTATGTGTGTACATGTGCATGACGTGCGTATGTATGTATGTATGACTGCATGTAATTATGACTGTACATATGTATGCATGTATGGAAGGATGGATGCACACGTGTATGTATATATGTATGTATGTTGTATGTTTGGTACGTGTGTATGTGTGCTGTGTCTGTATGGTTGTATGTATGAATCAATGAATATGCATGTTTTCGCGCATGTATGGAGCATGCATGCATGCATGCAGGGAGGTAGGTCGGTAGGTAGGTAGGTAGGGTGGTCGGTAGGTAAGCAGGGGTATGCATGTGTGGATGTATGCATGCATGTATGCATGCATGCAGGTGTGTATGCATGTATGTATGTATGTATGTGTGCATCTCTGTACGTGCGTACTTGCGCATGCTTGCATGCGCACACACACGTTTACACATATGTAAATTATATATATGTTTTATATATGTACATCTGTATATATATGTGTGTGTGAGTACATCTCTACCTTTATGTGACAAATGTACAGGTGTGTGTCTGCGAGTCTCCATATACGTATTATGTGTGGATGTAAGACAGGCGCCTTCTAAGAAGCAGCCGTCTTCTAAGAGGTTCCCTCTTCCCCTATCCCCCTTCTGCGCGCCGACAAGTACGGCCGGAGTAGGTGCGGCAAGACAGGGAGACATTGGAGGAAGCCCGCCAGCAGACCTCAGGGGCATCCCCAGGGGGGACTGGCTCCAGGGGAGGGGGGGATGCACCGGCCCCCACTTGCCCTCTCATCGCGGATAGGTCGACTACACGTAAGAGTGGCATTTCGCCAGAGTGGCCTTTGGTGCGGGCCCAATGGGGTCCCCCGATCGCCGAACGTGGTGCGGTACCAGCGTCTTGCGCGCTTGTGTTTGGTCCCCCCGCGGTCCCCAGAACGTATGGATGCGATGTACACACAACCACACACGCACATACATACATGCACGCATACTTCGTCGGAGGTCTGCGCGGAGATCTTGGGTCGGCGCTGATCCCAGTGGCGGCGGCGCTGCCCCTGGCGCGCTTCGCGCGCGCCATGGAGACGTGCCAGACCTCCGACGATATGCAATTCTTTTCAATCGCGGTGGTTTTCCATCGGTTTGCCCCCTGGGGTCTTCACATCGGGCCCACTGTTGCTACGCGTAAGAGTGACCCTTCGCCAACAGCCAGCAGCCAGGATGGGAAGAGGAGAACGAGTCGGGGTGTGAGGGCGAGGCGCTTGGCGTGCATTCAGCTAGGAGCCGAGGCAGACGGCCTGGCTTGCTTGGAGATAGGATTGGCATGTCGCTTGAAGTGAGCAAGCTTCTATCATCAAAAACAATTGCCGCGTCCAGCCCCATCGCACGTAGCGCGTTGAACCGCGATTTGCGCCGCCGACGGTTGAGACTTGGGACTGTTAGTGGTACGAGTTAGGGGGGACAACAAAACCTTCTGTATTGCTGAATCTGTCTTGGATGTGTTACCGTTACCGATGTGGGAGGGGGGAACCAGGAAAAGCTTGAATGTACGGTTAAACGCGTTCATGAAGGAGCGGTGCATCCTGAGCATCCGCGAATGTAAAACATGCGTTGGCTCGTGGCAGGCTCGGAACCATGGACTCGTGCGGCTAGGGACTCTGCTGCCATCTGTCTTTCTCTGCCCGCCCATCACGTGTGACGCTCCTCTTCAGATCCACTGCGGACGGAAAGTGTTGGTCAGCGTGCCGCGCCGCAGGTTGATGTCCCGCCACGCTTCGGGTCGCGACACGCTTGCCACGTCCTGGTCTCCAGGTGGCTCCTAGGAGGAGGAGGAGGAGGAGGAGGAGGAGGAGGAGGGGGAGGAGGAGGAGGAGGGGGAGGAGGAGGAGGGGGAGGAGGAGGAGGAGGAGGAGGGAGAGGGGAGAGGAGGAGGGGAGGAGGAGGAGGAGGAGGAGGAGGAGGTGGCTCCTGGCGTCAGCGCCCCTGGCGTGTCCCAGCCCCCCCGGGCCCGTGGAGCGGAGAGCGACTCGCGCGCGGTCCGCTTTTTGCAGGGCGCGGCGCGTCGCCTCAGGGACGCCTCTGCGACACGCCGAGCATCGGGGCTCGAGAGACGGGGGTCGACTCCTCCGTCCTCCTCCTCCTCCTTCTCCTCCTCCTCCTCCGCCTCCTCCTCCTCCTCCCTCCTCCTCCTCCTCCTCCTCCTCCTCCTCTCCTCCTCCTCCTCCTCCTCCTCCTCCTCCTCCTCCTCCTCCTCCTCCTCCTCCCCCTCATGTTCCTCCTCCTCCTCCCCCTCATGTTCCTTTTGCTCTGGAGGGGCTTCAGGGACGGGGGTCAATGCAAACGGGGGTCCGCCAGAGCGCCCGATCTTGCAGGATCCTGCAGGGCCAGGGTCGCATTGACCCGGGCTCGGGCGCAGGATTCTGGAGGATCTTGCAGGATCCTCCGCATGGGCCCGGGCTTGGGTGCAGGATCTTGCAGGCTCTTGCAGGATTCTGCAAGGCCTGATTGACCCGGGTCTGGATTGACCCGGGTCAGATGATCCCCTGGAGCAAACAGCTCTAACTCACCGAGCGCGTTCCACTACTCGCAGAGTGCATGCTCGCAAAGTGCCTGCTCGCAAAGTGCCTGCCTCGATGCCATTTCTCCTGGACCCCGCGCGGCGGGTCCAGGCCCTGTGCGAGCAGTTGCTCTGCGAGTCGTGGAACGCGCTTGTCTACAGCGCCGGTTTTAATACATGCTCCGCGTGCGGATCATGTGTTTTTAAGAAGGGATTCAGTATTGAAAGCAATGGTGCATTTATGCATTGATGTATGAGTAGATTAGTCATGTATAAGAAGCCTTGTATGTTTAAAAGTCCTACGTCTTAGAAAACTGCCCCGTACCAGCCATGCGGGCGCTGCCCGCAAGGCCAGCCGAAGGGGGTGGCTGCCGCTCCGTCGGCCCTCGGGGGAGCGCGCGCGGGCCTCGGCCTCGCCCAAAGGCTGGGGCCGCGGAGCGGCCCCGGCGCCCTGCACGCGCCCGCCCCCCCCCCCCACGCTCGGGGGCGGACAAGAGGGGGGTGATGACTGGGGGGGGGTGGATATCATGGCGCGGGCCATGATTTTTCCCCAGATTTCATGGCGCCTCTTCTTATTTTATTACATCCCTGGCCCCCCCCGCTGGGCCGCGCACATGTCGCCGGTCATGATTTCCACCCCCCCCTCTTGGACGCCCCCCTCTTTTCCGCTCCCCCCCCACGCGAGCACGCGCGGTGCCCGTGCGCCCGCACTTCGGGAACGCATTCCCCTTAGGTTACAGTCGAGGCGTTGACCTACTTGGCGCTGATTCAAACGAATGCGCTTCCAGTGCGCTTCGTCATTGCGCGTGCTGAATAGAGGTTCGAGGTTTGCCTCCCCTCCCCTACCATTTCCTTAGGCTAAGGAGCCCTAAATAAGGAACGAGGCCCCTTTTTCCGTAGCGTAAACTTCGGCTTCCCGTCGAAAATTGAAGGGAAACCTCAGGCAAGGTGTGGAACAATCAAGGAACGCAGAGCCCCTCCCCAACGCCAAGGGTTCCTTCTTCAGGGCCCCGACTGTACTCGGGGCTGGACAGAACCCCCAACAGTGACACGTCGATCAGTGAATTGTCCGTTGGCGGTTCTCGAGAGGGCGCCGTGGCCGTCATTTTCCAGGCCTGCGCCCGCCAGGTTTGGGCCTCAGGTCGTTTTCACTAAACCACGTTTTGCTAAAGGGGGGTCTGTCCTTCCCCGAATTACAGTCAACCCGCACAGTAAGGATGGGCAACCTTCCCAGGAGTACCATTGCATCCTGGCCTCCGCGGTGCATCCTTGGCCACGTTCGTTGGCCGCGCCCCGCTAGAAAAGCTTCGACGTGGCCTTCCAAGGCCCTTGCGTCCTTATCGCGCGTCCTTACTACGCGGGTTGACTGTAAGTCGGGCCTGTCCCGCCACAGGGGGACCTATTCAAGAATAGTCAAAAAATAGTCTCGGGCCGATTTTTTGACTATGTTTGCGCATCTTCGGAGCATGTGTGGGGTATGTCTTGTTTTTCGTCCAAACTCGGCCTGTAGGGGGACATGCCCGACCTGACCCTAAGATCCGGGCGTTGCTATTCTTTCTGCCCAGAAGTATTCGCTCGGCTTCGGGCCGCGACACCATCACAGATCGATCCCGCTCGCCACATGCCACAGAAGGATTGGGTCCAGGGATCCGATCGCTACACCTTAGGCGATGGTTAAGAAAACCCAAGTTTTCGGCCAGAGTCTCGATTATTCTTAATGTTTCCATGTGCATCCTAAGATTTCGATGGAAATTCTGGGCTTCTATTCAAGTTCTGAGACTATGAATTTCTTAACCCATGATTTCTTAAGCATTTCGCAGGGTGTACTTTTTCCGATGTCGGATTGTTTTCGCAACGTCGGATCTCAGGGTCGTCCGAGGCGGGACTTCTCTTTGAAAATCAATCCTCCAGGCGGCGGCCGTGGCTATCGGAGCAGGGCGAGTTGAGACCGCGGCAGCTCAAGATCGCTTCTGGGGGCCCCAGCGGACAAGTTTCCCGAGCTGCGCCCAGCCGCAGCGACGAGTCGAGGAACATCAAATAACCTAAACGTGAATTTTCGGAGGCCCGCGCGGATTTCTTGGATCGACGTTGGACCCACCTCCCTGCCGGAGGCGCCGCCAGGGGGGTCCAACGCCGATCCAGGAAATCCGCGCGGAGCTCCAAAAGCAAGGACCAACCACAACGCTGTTTAGCTTGGTTTGGACCCTTGTTGTGTGTTTCGTGTCGGTTTTTCGTTGTTGTTTCGTTTTGTTTTTCGTTGTTGTCTTGAACGCCCCGTTTCGTCTCGTCGTTCGGTTTCGTTTGGCACCGGCTTCGTTTAAATGTTCGTTTTGAACCTTGGGCCTCGTTCCGTTGTTCGTTGTAACCGACATCTCGTTTTGAACATAGTGTGGTCGGTGCCTGTCCAAAAGGGTATGCTTATGCCACTCCTCGTTCATCGCACGACGGGCCCCCCCGAAGGCACACTATTCCGCGGTCTCAACTCGCCCTCCTCCGTGGCCGGATCCCCGCCCTGCACTTCTCGGGTTGACCCCAAAGGGGGTCCAGCGACAAGGGGGTGGTGCAATGGAGTCGGTGCAATAGATCTGTGGGGCTGCAGTACATTTGGGGCGTGCGTTACATTCGCGTTCAACGCATTCGTCGCAATACAATGCAGCACAATTCTCCGGCGCAAGGCATTTGCAACACAATTGCACCAATCTGTTGCACCACCCCTTTTCAGCTGGACCCCCTTTTGAGTCACCCAAAGCTTCCCTCAGAGGAGCAAGCGGTCATGATCGATTTCCACGGTTCCCAGGATTTGCCATCTTTCCGAGCATCCTACACGGGCTGCAACAACGAGAGCCACTAGATACTCTTGGAAATCCTGGAACGTATCCTGAGCCAATCTCATCGTACAGCATTCTCGTCCTGCACTTCGCTCCGCATCGCCGATGCATCGGCGATGCGGCTGGCTGTGGCTCCCGATGATCATCACATCGACGTCGCCGATGCATCGCAGACGTCGCCGATGCATCGCAGATGTATCGTCGATGTGGCGCGATCCTCCGACCCATATCTACTCGGAGTCAGTTTTGGAGGCCTCCGGTACACATCGGCCGTTGAAAGACATAATGCGTGGGTTCCCAGATCCCAACCTGTTTTAAGCGCCTTCCTACTTCAGTGATCTAGTGTGTTCCTTTCTTCCCTCCCCCTCAGTGGGTGGGCAGAAGCCCAATCTGCTTTCAACGCCTTCCTACTTCATGTTTCTACCAACTTCGTCCGACCGACGGGGACGTAAAACACGGGGTCGTCTGCGCCGGCATAGGCTCGTAAGCTCCCCGCGTACGGTCGCGCGCGAGCACCCTCTTCTCGCAGGTAGCGTGCCGCGCGGGCGGCCCGCGCAAGCCGCCGCGCGAGGTCGCTATGCCATCTCGCGCATAGGACCCGTTCTTGATCGTCGCTCATTTGGGAGGCCTCCAGTACGTCCTTCCAGGGCCCCCCCTGCAGGAGAGTTGACCGGAGGAGGAGGAGGAGGAGGAGGAGGAGGAGGAGGAGGAGGAGGAGGAGGAGGAGGAGGAGGAGGAGGAAAGGAGGGGAGGGAGGAGGAGGAGGAGGAGGAGGACGAGGACGAGGAGGAGGAGGAGGAGGCGGAGGAGGAGGAGGAGGAGGAGGGGGAGGGGAGCCCTTCCAGGAGACCTCTGTGCCTGCCTTTGTTGCCCGAGGCTCCATCCGCCTCGCGCCCCGCGCGCCCTCTTCGCCGGGCGTGCCTCTGCCTCGGCCAGGCCGACTCGCGCCCGGGCTCCCGCGCCTCGACCACGCGCAGATGACACGCCGAGGCGCCGCTGGGGAGGGGTGAATCTAGTCCAAAGCCCCTCGAGGCATGGAAAGATCACCAGGGAAAGTGTTTCGCTATTTTTTTGCTATGCCCTGTCTCCCTAGTTCAAAGCTGTGCGTAGCCCGCCCAGCTTTTAGCGGAAGAGGTTCGCTCTCGCCCCGCAGATCAGAAAAGTAAAGTGCTTCGCTAGGTTTAGCCTTTGGGGGCCTTACCCGGCCTCGGGGCTGTCCAAAAAAAAGGATCCAGGATGGGAAACCGCAAAGGCCCCGAAGGCAGGGTCCACATGGCGGCGCCGCACCGTTTTGGTGCACGCATCACACGGTTCGTAGCCCCTTGGGAAGCCCCACCAGAGGTCCCAGTGACAGTGTTCACACGGCAGCGCCGCCCTATTATGGTACACATTTTCCACGAGTCGTGGCTCCATAGGGAGCTCCACCGAAGGCCCCAGCGGCAGGGTGCACATGGGGGCGCCGCTCATTTCGGCACACCCTTCACACGGTGCGTGGCCCCAGAGGGAGACCAGCCGAAGGCCCCAGCGGCAGGATCCACATATGGCGGCGCCGCCCCATTTTGGCGCACCCTTCGCACGGTTTGTGACCCCATAGGGAGCTCCACCGAGCGGCCCCAGTTGCAGGGTCCCCGTGGCGGTGCCGCCCCATTTGGGCGCACCCCTCACACGGTTCGTGACCCCATAGGGGTCCCAGTTGTTGTGTTCGCATGGCGGTGTTCGTCCATTTTGGCGCATCCCTCGCACAGTTCGTGGCCTCATAGGAAGTTCCGCCGAGAGCGGTGTCACAGCACGGTATTCACAGTTGCAAATGGTCGGGCATTTCGCCCGGACGTGTTTTCTCACACTGTTTTTGGCGTGACGCGTGTCACTTTTGTATTGTTTCACATTGTATGGCCTCATGTTGGCGTCCAGCATACGAGTGGAACATGCGTTTTTTCGCACACGAAGTTCGGGGTGACACGTGTCACCCTTGTGTTGTTTCACGCTGTATGGCCCCATGTTGCCGCCGAGAGTGTGAGTGGAACAGTTGTTTTTCTAACACGGTTTTCGGAGTGGCATGTGTCACCTTGGTGTCGTGTCACACTGTATGGATCCATGTTGGCGTTCAGAATGCGAGTGGGGGCCGCCACGCATGCGCGAATTAGAAACATCCTGAAACTCTTGCCGGAGGTTTTAGCACGATTTTGGCCCGTTGGGCCGGCGAATTTTCCTTTTGTCTCACCGTCTCGTCGTCCTCCTCGCCATCTTCCTGCGAGGGGCAAGACATTGCATGGAGTTCCGTGCTGACTTCTTGGATCGGCACCTGGGCCTCCCGGGCGCCACTTTCGCCGCCCATGGCGCGCTCCGCGCGCCAGAAAGGAGGGTCTAGCGCCGATCCAAGAGATCTGCGTGGGCTTCCGAAGGGTTATGTTTATACGCAGCTATGTGTTCCTCGAGTCTCCCCTCCTCGTCGTCCTCGCCATCATTCTGCAACAGGTCTGTCCCAGGTGAGCGGGGTCACCATCACCTCTCGCCGTGAAGGAAGCTCCGAGGAGGAAAGGGTACCAATACCGCTGCTCGACCTGCAGATCTCGAGCTGCAAGTGCTGAATTATCTTCGGAATTCTAGTCTTGTGGAGGACGATTAATGGAGAGGAAGTATGTTGCCAAATACCTCCCAGATGTCTAGAACATGTTTTAAACTTGTCTGAATCATGCAAGAAACATGCTTCACACATGTTCAATACATGTTCCTACATGTTCAATTCATGTTTAATTCGATGATAGTCAGAGCGTGAATAACCTCCCCCGCTTTCGCTTCCAGACAAAACCAAGCCATACCACGCGCCTCCTTGTCAGGCGGCCTGACCAGTACAGGCCGTAGTTTGGCATCGTTTGGTATCTCTTGGAAGCAAGGGTGGTCAAAAGCGAGGTAGGTTTGTTTTCCTCCTAGATAGGACTGTTCGGGTGTGCATTGTCGTGGCATCCACAACTCTGGTCATGACGCAGCACGGGCGAGGTCTGGGAAGCAGCGGCCGTGGTGGCGAGCTCCGCGCCAGCCCAGCAGTCGAGCGGTGGCGAGCCCCGCGCCGGCCCGCCAGCCGACCACCCCGCCGCCCTAGGGTTAAGTCGGGCCTGTTCCTCTACAGGAGGAATCTTCAGAAATAGTCTAAAAATAGTCTGGGTACTATGTTTTGAATATTTTTTGGCCAGTTTAGAATATGTTTGGAGTACTTCTCATTTTTCGTTGAAAATCGGCCCGACCTGACCCTAGGGGTCTGGCAGGCCCTGTGGGAGCCCCAGGGGCTCGCCTCGCACTCGGCGGGGGGGTGAGCCGCGGCGAGAGGTGTGATCTCCAGGGAGAGGAGAGGAGGAGGAGGAGGAGGAGGAGGAGGAGGAGGAGGAGGAGGAGGAGGAGGAGGAGGAGGAGGAGGAGGAGGAGGAGAGGAGCAGGAGCAGGAGCAGGAGGAGGAGGAGGAGGAGGAGAGGAGGAGGAGGAGGAGGAGGGGAGGGCGCCTCCCGGCGCCGGGAGGCGCCAGGAAAGTCAGCTACGTGAGCTGATTCTCATCCCCCCCCCTTTGCTATCCCCCCCTTTCGCCCGGCCCGACAAGCAGAGGCAAAAGCAGGGCTGGGCTACATTCAAGTCGGGCCTGTCCTTCTACAGAAGGGATGTGCAAAAATAGTCAAAACATGGTGAGGGGAAAATGTTTTGAGTATGTTTGAGCATGTCTGATGCAGGTTCGGACTCTTTTTTCATCTTTCGTCCAAAATCCGCCTGTAGGGGGACACGCCCGACCTAAGGCTACATCTCTTCCTCTCCTCTCTGTTGCTTCTCCTCTCGGACGGACCCAGGACCAGGACAGATCGCTCCAGAGCGTTCTGGGACGCTCTCAGAGCGCTTTTGGGCGCTCTGGAACAGCCGCGGCGCCCGGCACATCTTCCAGAACCGCGGAGTTCCAGAGATCACCGATGCATCCTGGACCGGTTTCGTCCCAGTCTTGGCTTCGTCGTACCCTTCGCTCCTCCTCCCTCCCTTCCCCCCTCTTCCGGGGCGGCCTGAGCGGCAAGCAGCTCTCTGTAGCTGTGGCCTGCGGCGCCCGCTCCCATGTGCCGTCTCTAGGATGCAATACTCCTGGCAGATGAAAATCAGCATCGGCGCTGGTTTGTCTGTGGACGACAAGCCTAATCCAGCCTAGTTATATTGTGCTCAATCTGGCTTACTCTGCGTCCCTCAATATATCTAGGTCCCCAGGCTGCAGGTACCCTCTCCCCAGATAACAGGTACTTTTTCCCCCAGTCCACAGGTGCCCCCCTCCGGAGTACAGGTACCCCCCCTGACTACATCCACGCGCGCCAAATCCCGCTCGCGTGGAAACACGCGTGCGTTGACACGTGAACACGCTTTCCCCGCAGGACTGCAAGTACCCCTCCGTTCTGGACTACAGGTACCCTTCCCTTGGATTACAAGTACCCCACCCCGGACTACTGCCCCCCCTCCCTCCCCTGGACTACAGGTACCCCTCCCCTGGACTACAGGCACCCTCCTCGAACCACAGGCACCCCCAGAATGATTGAGGGGCGCGGAGTGATCTGGTTTCATCGGGCGCAATCCCGAGGCTAATTTTGCTTCATCCGGCAGAATGGCCTTTGAATCTTGCTCAATCATCGTTTTGACGAAGACCTTCCAGGAGTGGCCTTCGAACTTGCTGTTGTTGTGGCTGTTGTTGTTGTTGTTGTTGTTGTTGTTGTTGTTGTTGTCGTTGTAGTTGTTGTTGTTGTTGTCGTTGTTGTTGTTGTTGTTGTTGTTGTTGTTGTTGTTGTTGTTGTTCTTGCTGTTGTTGTTGACTTCTCATTTCTGAAGAAAAGTTATTTGTTGATTCCCCCACCGGTGCATACTGTTCTTTCTCAATCAAAGTGTATCCCTCGACGCTCGCACTTTGTTTTTTGAGCAGGGAACGTCTTCCTGCTCAAACTGGGCCCCTGGCCCCCGGGTTACAACAACAACGGCTCCCGCCTAAGACTTCCTTACAATTTAGGCAGGACCCCCGCTCCCGCCCGAGAGTTCCTCGCATTTGATTCAGGAATCGCACTCTCGCTTGGCACCTCCTTACAAATTCTTCAGGAATCGCTCTCCCAGAGCTCTGGAGTCGCGCGCTGGAGACTTGCTCGCAACTAACTGAAGAATAGCCTTGCGTTGGAATTTCTTGCAATTTGCCCGAGCGCCGCGCTCCCGACACCCAGGTACCCAGGAGTCGCGCCCGTTGTGGGCCCATGTGCATGCCCTTCATGGCCCCGCTGTCGCCATTTGTGTCCCCCTCACTGTCCTACATGGCCCAATTGCTACCCTCAGTGGCCCCATAGTTGCCTTCTGTGGCCCCGCATTATCTGCACTTCGTGGCCCCCGCTCGTTCGTGCTCTTCGTGGCTCCATACGCATTCCCTTCGTGTCCCCGCTGTCGCCTTTCGTGGCCTACTTCGTGCCCTTCGTGGCCCTGCTGTCGTTCTCTCTCGCTCTCGCTTTCGCTCGTCGTCGCCCTCGTCGTCGTCGTCGCCGTTGTCTTCGACAGCGTCGTCGTCGTCGTCGTCGTCGTCGTCGTGGTCGGTCCCCTGTCCGTTTCTCTTGGGGTCGGGTCGACGGTCCGCGGCCGCCCCGCCGATCAGCGCTGCCGCTGGCCAGGCCGACGGTCCGCGGCCGCCCCGCCGCTTGCCGGGGCCCGGCCTGCAGGGAAGAAAGGTCTACCCCCCAAAAGGGGTTCGATCGAAGACGAAGAGGGCGGGTATCGGGGGTGTGGGACATACGCGTTATTGGACACTCGAGCATATAAGGGCGAACGGTCTTGAAATTATTGTTGTTGTTGTTGTTGAATTCTCACTTCTGAAGAATAGTGATTGCTGATTCCTCCCACCGGTGCTTACTGTTTTTTCTCAATCAAAGTGTGCCCCTCAATGCTCGCACTTTGTTGTTTGAGCAGGGAACGTCTTCCTGCTCAAACTGGGCCCCTGG